GGCAGGGGGTTGGACTGGATGGCCCATGAGGTCTCTTCCAACTCTTTGATTCTATGATTCTATGAAATTTGGTCCAGCAAATGAAAATACATCCTGCATGTCAGATATTTACATTACATTTCATAACGGTAGCAGTTATGAAGTAGCAACGAAAATAATTTTATGGTTGGGGGTCACCACAACATGAGGAACTGTATTAAGACTACTGCAACACGCTCTACGTGGGGCTGCCCTTGAAGACTGCTCGGAAGCTTCAAATGGTCCAACGGGCAGCAGCCAGGTTATTAACAGGAGTGGCGCTCAGGGAGTGTACAACCCCTCTGTTGCGCCAACTCCACTGGCTGCCAGTTTGCTACCGGGCACAATTCAAAGTACTGGCTTTAGCCTGTAAAGCCCTAAACGGTTCCGGCCCAGCTTACCTGTTCGAATGCATCTCTCTCTGTGAACCATCTAGGTCTTTAAGATCATCTGGAAAGGCCCTGCTCTCGGTCCTGCCTCCTTCGCAGATGTGACTGGCGGGAATGAGAGACAGGGCCTTCTCAGTGAAATCATGGAGGAATTTAAAAGGGTCTGGCCCTGAAGGAGAGACCCTGCGGACCCACCAAAGAGGGCTCGCTACAATGGTGAGCAAAGAGAAGCCCAATTTAAAAGGTTTTTTCTAAGTTTCCAAAAGAAATCTCACCAAATTTGAAGGAAGCGCCACCAAGATGATTTTATTGCGATTCAGCTGAAAAGGATGCAAAGCAGCAATATTTCGCCAAGCTAAGCATACAGTGTACAAAAATAAAGGCCTTTTTATACATAAAACAGCCTCCAGGTTTGAATCTCCCATTCCCCGCCCCTCTGCTGGCTCAACGATGATTGGCTGGCGCTTTTCAGCTGGGAGGAGGCTTGGCCTCCTCCTGAGTGCATGGGCCAATCACTGGGCTTCTGCCGCCTCAGCGTCCTGACGAATCAGGAGAGAGGGAAGTGGAACGAGAGGGAAACAATGGATTCTTGAGAGGATCATGGAAGTAGGAAATGTCTAAGCGGCTAGTGGGGGGGGGGGGCTGCAAGCCAGCCTTTGCTATTGTCTTTGAGTGGCTGCAATGGACGTTGATGGCTGTCAAACCTGCCATAATCTGGATTTTTCCAGTGCTGAGAGACAGGAACAATGAGGGAATTTTGGCTGTGGTTTCAGTGGATAAAAGTTGAATCAGTAACAGATTAGGACAAGGTGTGGCTTTCCGAAGGCTTCCTTTGTCCTATTGAGATATGATCATAAATGCCAAGTGACTGCTTCCTCTGGGGGGCCAACTCCGAGGCCAGAGGTCACGATCCTTTGTTATTGTCCATGCAAATAGTGTGTTTTGATAAGAGTCTTTTCCAACTGAGGATTTCCTCCTTTCTAGGGTCACAGGAGTGGCTTCTTATATTTTTATACATTTTTCAATAAAGGGGAATTGGGCAAAAGGGTCAGGAAATGGTCAGGCACACAGAGAGAAATAGAGAAATATAGAAATCGTGATATCGAAAACATACCCACTTATCTCTCCCACTAGAGTCCCATAGAAGTTCAAGAGAGCACATAAGTGTAAAGGGAGGTGATTTCTCAGTAATAAATGTGTTACCTTCTGCTATATATGAAACCTAGGGCATAAAACCTTGATTAAATGTACACACTGTCTAACATGGGAAGGGTCCTTGTTGTTAGTGTCTTGGCAAATTGACCAAGTCTTAACCCTTATTATCCAGTCTGGTGTCCTTGTCCTTAGCAAAACTATAAGTTACTATCTTTTATGGGGAGGGGGGTCATGTTCGACTTCATCAGTAGTTCAACCTGCCTCCAGAGCACTCTGAACCCCACCAATGACAGATCTGGACCAAACATAGCACAAAGTACCCTGGTGACCAACTGAACATATTGAATGAATTTGGGGGAGGACTAACCCACTCACGTGGGAGTTGTAGTTCACTCTGCACCCAGAGAGCATTCTGAAGCCCTCAGTGGCGGAGCACACGTGGCACACAGAACCCCGATGACCAACAGAACATATTGGAGAGGTGGGGGTGGAGGTAAATGACCCACCCACATGGGAGTTGTAGTTCACCCTACACCCAGAGCACTCTAAACCCCATCAATGACAGATCTTGACCAAACTTGGCACACAGACCCAACATGCCCAACTGTGAGTACAGGCGGAGTTTGGGGGTGATTGCCCTAGGAATCTGGGAGTTGTAGTTCACCTGTAACCAAAGAAACTATGACCCACATCGACAATGGACTGAGACCAAACTTTGCACAGAGAAGTCCAATGACCAACTAAACATACTTCAGGGATTTGTGAGAATTGACCTTGATTGCGTGAGTTGTAGTTCACCTGCACCCAGAGAGCACTGAAACCCAGCCGACGTCAGATCAGGACCACACTTGGCACACAGACCCAACATGCCCAACTGTGAGTACAGGCGGAGTTTGGGGGTGATTGCCCTGGGAATCTGGGAGTTGTAGTTCACCTGTAACCAAAGAAACTATGACCCACATTGACAATGGACTAAGACCAAACTTGGCACAGAGAAGTCCAATGACCAACTGAACATACTTCAGGGCTTTGTGGGAGTTGACTTTGATTGCGGGAGTTGTAGTTCACCTGTATCCAAAGAAACTGTGACCCACGCCAACAATGGACTGTCTGAGACCAAACTTGGCACAGAGAAGTCCAATGACCAACTGAACATACTTCAGGGCTTTGTGGGAGTTGACCTTGATTGTGGGAGCTGTAGTTCACCTGTATCCAAAGAAACTGTGACCCACACCAACAATGGACTGAGACCAAACTTGGCACAGAGAAGTCCAATGACCAACTGAACATACTTCAGGGCTTTGTGGGAACTGACCTTGATTGCGGGAGTTGTAGTTCACCTGTATCCAAAGAAACTGTGACCCACGCCAACAATGGACTGTCTGAGACCAAACTTGGCACAGAGAAGTCCAATGACCAACTGGCAGGGCTTTGTGGGAACTGACCTTGATTGCGGCAGTTGTAGTTCACCTGTATCCAAAGAAACTGTGACCCACGCCAACAATGGACTGTGACCAAACTTGGCACAGAGAAGTCCAATGACCAACTGAACATACTTCAGGGCTTTGTAGGAATTGACCTTGATTGCGGGAGTTGTAGTAACCTGTATCCAAAGAAACTGTGACCCATGCCAACAATGGACTGAGACCAAACTTGGCGCAGAGAAGTCCAATGACCAACTGAACATACTTCAGGGCTTTGTGGGAATTGACCTTGATTGCGTGAGTTGTAGTTCACCTGCACCCAGAGAGCACAGAACCCAGCCAACGTCGGATCTGGACCACACTTGGCACACAGACCCAACATGGCCAACTGTGAATACAGGCCTGGTTTGGGGAGGAGTGACCCACAACTCCGGAAATAGTAGTTCACCCACATCTTTATATATTTTCTAATGGGAGCATTTATAAACAGTGAAATCAAAATGTGTTTTTTTTCTAATAAATAGTGTTACTAATTAACTAAATTATATTACCTAATATTCCAAAATAAACAATGCCTTTTTCGATTAATCTGGGCGGCGTCAGGTACTCAAGTTAGTACGTAATAAAATGGAAGTATAACGGCCATCCTTAAAAGCTCCATCCTTTGCAGTCATAAGAATTCTTGCACTCCTGCATCTCTCACTAGTTCCGTTGTCTCCTCGCAGGAAGCAGCCATGGCGACTCTGAGCATGAAGCCAGGCCAGAGGTTCACATTCCCTGACTGGCGCATGAACCGTGAGCTCCTTGTGAGCAATGCTGAGCGCCAGCGCATTGCTTCTCACCAGATCCGACAAGAGGCCCGGGCTCTTCGTAATGAAACGAACAACCAGGTGAGTGGCGCATTCCAGCCCTTCTACCTTGTGTCAGCATCAATGTGTGTTGGTTAGGACTGAAATATCAGCTCTTTGTCAGGATTAATTTAGTTATATATGTGTTTTTCAATACATGTGCTTCTATGTATTGCCGAGATGGATGCTACTGTGAATTGAAAATGTCATGCAGGAATGTTTATACTTTGAGGCTGTGATGAAGTGAACTTGAAAAAGTAAGGTAAGGGTTGCTCTTGCTGAGAACAGAAGGGAGTTGCCAGTCTCAGCAAGAGAAGATAAGCAGATGTGAAGAGGCTTTCGGTTTTGACTAGTCCTAAATTGTAGCTCGCTGTAGAAAGACGTGTCTGATGTACGTACTTAGTAAACTTAGTTTCTTTTGTAACTCAAAGCCTGCAGAGTCCTTATTTTGCAACTCAGTGTCTGCTTGATCTAGCATTCCTTCCGCTGGGTATCATCAATCTCTGACAATCTTTCGTTACTCCTAGGTGGGACAATAGGATTGGAATGATCCCAGAAACTCAGCAGAAAGGCAAATAGATGGGATGCCCGGGAAGTATTCGGCAACTTGTTTATGAGTATTCCCATTCCTAATGTCATGGGTGGTGCAATGGACTAAACCGCTGAGCTGCTGAACTTGCTGACTGTAAAACTGGCAGCTCAAATCTGGGGAGCGGAGTGAGCTCCCTCTGTTAGCCCCAGCTTCTGCCAATGTAGCAATTCCAAAACATGCAAATGTCAGTAGTTCAATAGATACCAATGTATTGTCAATAGGAACTGCTTCTGCAGGGAGGTAATGGCGCTCCATGCAGTCATGCTAGCCACATGACCTTGGAGGTGTCTATGGACAACGCCAGCTTTTTGGTTTAGAAATGGCGATGAGTGCCACCCGCCAGAGACGGACACGACTAAACCTAATGTGAAGGGCAAACCTTTACCTTTACTATTTGTAATGTCTGATTTATGTCACTTTCTGGCATGAAAGCTATCAAGAAAAGAGCAGATTTCCTGAAATAAGACTCTGGCTGTAAATAGGTCAGCTGCTGTCCTCACCTTTTTGCCTTGTTTTTTTTTACTCCTGTTCTATTTTGAAATGGTCATATGACTGGTCAAATAAATATATTATTATTATTATTATTATTATTATTATTATTATTATTATTATTATTTGAAACACAAGATGAGTCCACAGCAGACACTCTGTTGGCTGTTGAATTGGATCACACGTCGGACACTTCCCAAGTGTCTAGGACTGTGTGATGTATCAGTGAATAATGCGTGCAGATCCCAGTAAGGTGGCCTTTTGCAGCTGGCAGATGGTAATTTTGTCCGCGCCAATTGTGTTTAAGTGCAGGCCAAGGTCTTTAGGCACTGCACCCAGTGTGCCGATCACCACTGGGACCACCTTGAACTTGCTATTATTATTATTATTATTATTATTATTGTCACTTGCTGGCATGTGTATATTAACTGTCTGCATGTAGGATAAAACATGTCAAGAGAGGCAAGCTGAACTTTGAGAATATGATATACTTTCTTCTCTGAGTAGGAACTGGAGGCCTTTTCGAATATTATTCTAACTGCTTGCCTGTCTTACCTCTCCAGACAATATGGGATGAGCACGACAACCGCACACGCCTCAATGAAAGGATTGACTGTGTCAACCGACTGAAGGAAATGTTGGACAAATGCCTGACAAACATTGACATAGAAATCAATGCTTTAACCCAGGTATGAGATCTGCCTATACCTTTTAGTACTGCTGTACCTATCTATGAACCGAGATTGTGCATTCTGCAAATCGTTCCAGATTATTATTATTTTGTGTCAAAAGCATTGCATAAATAAACAAGTATAAAACTGACAGAATAGAGGAAGCACAAGGGACTACATAATTTTAGACCAAAAACGGGCAACAGCGACCGCATTGTCTGTAGCTTTAAAGAATTCCTCCTGTGTTCATGAGGCAGGGCATGGTGAGCAAGCATGCAGATACGGAGTTGCTTGTGGAGGATTCTTCTAGGTCAGAAATGGGCAAACCCAGGCCTGGGGGCCAGATGCGGCCCCTTGGGCTCCTTTTTCAGGCTCTCCTCTCTCCTTCTTTCTCCTTCCCCCTTCTTTCCCTTCCACCCTTTTGTCCTTCCTTTCGCCCTCCTTTCCTCTATCTGTTTTTCTCCTTCCTTCCTTTTGTCTTTCCTTCCTTCTCTTTCCTCCCTCCCTTCCCTTACTCCCTTCCATCCTTACCTCCTTCCTTCCCTGTATTTTGTCTTTCCTTCCTTCTCTTTCCTCCCTTCCCTCTTTCTCCCTTTCTCAATTCCCTTCCACTCTTTCGTCCATCCTTCCTTCTTTTCCCTCCCTCCCTCCCTCCCTTTCTTTTCTCCCCTTTTCTTCTCCCT